AAATATTTGTATTGAAGAAATGAAACGTTTCGAACATATGAAAAATAGGAATATTATATTCTAAAAGAAAACACTCTTTACCCTTAAGTAATAAATCAAGGATTTCAAAATAAAAATGTTGAAAAGTGACGTACAAATAATTGTATTGTAAAGTTTCTCGTGTCAGGTTGACTTGTTTTTCATAAAAGAGATAAAGATGGAAACAAAATTGAATGAACTCAATTTACTGAAATCTGTACTAACTTAGATAGTGCTTATGAAACTCAGTAGTGTATTGTTCGTTTGTTTCTTTAAAAGAAAATGTTTTGTTTCAATTTAGGTAAAGTTGACTTTCAATTTTTGTTCTAAACATCATTTAAAAAATGCATGGTAAACATTTACTTTTGGATTCAATTAAATTGAGATCTATTTGTTATTAATAATTACTGTAGATCTCTATCTAAAGTAAAACTTTGGTTGTTGATTTTAACCATAAAATCTTAGACGATCTTTATTTACCTGCACAAATTCATAATAGTGAAATTACCTCCACTACCAAGGGTGGGTGGAGGTTATGTTTTCTCTCCTCTGTGTGTGTGTGTGTGTGTGTATGTTTGTCAGCAAGATTTCTCAAAAACGGCTGAATGAATTTGGACGGAAGTAGGTATACGTTTGGACTATGATCCAACTTAGAAGTGATTAGTCTCTGGAGGGTCTAGGTCACAGCAAGGTCACTCCTATCTATTAATATGAGGACTGGTTTTTCACACTATTTTTATTGTATAACTCAGTGAAAAAAGATCGGATTTTGATGAAACTTGGTGGACATATGTAGAATATTATTCCTCATTGTCCTGCCAAAAATGGTCCATGTCCGTTGATAACGATGGGCATACGAACACATTTTCTTATTTTTTGAGAGCCGAATATGATCAACTGTGCTTGGCGGAGGTATGCGCTCTAGTGAATGCCCCTCCAGTTAATAACATATTCCTAATCTATATTACTAGTTGTTCTATTGGCATTTCGTTTATCATTATAAACTTCACTAATAATTTAAAAGTGGATAAATATGATAGTTATAATTTTTTTAAGTACTGATAATATTTGTTTTCAAATCCCTTTCATAAATATATAGTAAATGGAAACTTGTATACATTGTGGGAGATAAAGAATTTTGTAAAATTTTACAAAACGACTTCTACAATTATAATATTAAATAAAAACTAAATTTTGTGAAAAGCTAAAATCCTTAGAGTTTATTTGTAATCAAGCACAAAGCTACACAATGGGCTAGCTGTACGGTGCCCACCACGGGTATCGAAACCCGGTTTCTAGCGTTGAAAGCCCGCGGACATACCGCTGTGCCACTGGAGGACAATCCTTAGTGAAAATACTAATGATTTTAATTTTAAAACGAAATTTTCTTAATTCCAAAATATTATTATTATCTATGCTTTGGTTTTATGTGTAAAAAGCTTTATGTCCAAATTTTTATCAAGAAAATTAATACTAACATACTAAATAATACTAATTCCTTTTGTAAGTGTAACATAAATTTATAATATTGTAACTAACTTATTTCAAGTTTGTAAGAGAAGGAATATTTTACTTGATAAACTTCCATTTTTTACACAATTACAAAATTACACAAAAGTTAAACTATAGTCAAATATATTGCAACTTTTGTAAAAGACTTAGTGAAGCCTACTGCCTTACATGTAATGAAACTTTAATTACTTTGTACAAAAATGTAAATACCCTACGTTTATCTAATATAGTTTCCTGGCATACCTGAAATAATAATAATAATTCAAGTTTACAGTGTTTAAACTTTCTAAGTAAAGCACTAACTGCTTCTTTTATATTAGCTTTTGACTGTACCACATTAAATACTAAAATACTTTTAACTTATTTGGTTAGTTTTCTATTTTAAAATATACCAAGTTTGGGAAGATGATATTAAATTATCAACATATTTTTAGTTTTAAATTTTAATAACTACAGTCATTCAATAGTAATGAGCTTATGTGGCAAATTGGCATGCCTATGGGGGCCAGTTATTCTACCAATGTTACTAATCATTACCTCCGCCACCAAAGGTGAACGGAGGCTATGTTTTCACCCCTGTGTGTTTGTCAGCACAATTTCTCAAAAACGGCTGAATAGATTTGGACGAAAGTTGGTATATAGTTGGACTATGACCCAACTTAGAAGTGATTAGTTCTTTGGAGGGTCAGGGTCAAAGGTCAAGATCGCGAAAATAAAAAATCCTTTCTGTTAACACGGGGACCAATTTTTCATACTATTTTTCTTTATAACTCAGTCAAAAACCATCGGTTTTTGATGAAACTTAGTGGACACGTGTAGAATATTATTCCCCATTTTCCCGAATAAAAAAGTTCCGTTGATAACGATGGATATACTGACACATTTTCAATTTTTTTGAGAGCCGAATATGATCAATACTGCGTGGCGGAGGTATTCGCTCTACTGAGTGCCCCTCTAGTTATGAATTGTTTTTGTGGATCATCATACTTATCCTGAAAATATTTAACTTACTTTACGTTATACTGACGATTTAATTTTTATTAGTAACTAGCCGCGACCCGCAAAACATTTGCAGTAGTTTTCATGCCCTTCGCTTGAATTATCCTTATTCTATCATTTTCACGCACGTCATTTAACCTACGCTTTCTTGCAAGCGTTAAGTGTTAGATTGATAAATCCTGTTCTATTTGAAAAAAAAATTACGGATCAGACAAACGAACTCACGTAGACGTAACTTTATTTAATAAAACTACACGTAAAGTGAACAATAAAGTGAAATAATAGTATTTATGATAGTGTACAGAGTATGAAACAGTTATGAGTGTTCAGTGTATGACACAGTTTTATGAGTTTAAACAAAGAAACTCACAAAACAAACAATAAAACCCGTAGTAAAGAAAAAAGTATTTAAAAGATATTTATAGCAGTATATGAAACGAACCGTAGCTAAATTATTATAAAGTAAAGTAAATGTAAAGTTTTAATGAAGGCAAACTTAGCTGATTATGCAGAAACTTCTGTATATATGGTATTTTACACCTAAATATGTCGAGAAAGCCCATAGAAATTGTATTTAGTGTAATGTTCATTTTTTTAGGAAATTACATAGGGGTTAAATGTTGTTTGTATGAAATACTTTGGAAATAAAAAACTAAAGTTGAATCGAAGCCAGTAGCCAAGTGATGACAGCTGCATTGTACCATCATGTACCATACTCGTTGCATTGAAAAGTTTTACTAAGCAAAAAAATAGGTAATATGCAATCGGGCCTCCTCGGACGAAGACCTTTCTAACGATATGAGATTTGTAGCGTTTGATCAAGAAATCTGCGAGAAAAGTTCCGGACAGACAAACTCAAGCGTATTATCTATATAAATTTAGATTTCGTACAATCCGTTTCGTAAATTCATCCAGATAACTTATAAATGTTGGTGTACGAAAGTTACAAAATATTCTGCTCATTAGTTGGACTTTGAGATTGTTTTTGAAAACACTAAAGTTCAGATTAAAACTTTTAATGAAAGAACCAAATTAGTTTTCAGATTTTTGCTTTTCAGTCCTCATAGAATGTGGTTCTTAATAATTCAATTAAAGGAATGGTAATTTTACAGTTGAAATGTTATACTTTAATTTAAATTAATAACACTTGGGAAATGTTTCTCGTTTAATTGATAAATTAATTTATAATGCATTTCGAAGTGAAAAAATGTTTAAGATATATAATAGATGCAAAAGTTTAATAAAATTATTTTTTGACTCATTTCTTTAAATCATGTTCCCCCAGTATTTTAGATGATAATCCCTTTACAGAAGGCATTCTAAATTACCTGTTTTTTCATAATATTATTTGTTATAACAAGAAATCAGGCTTGGAAATACAAAAGCCAAGTAATTAAGCTAATCCCATTTTCCCTGACTTATATTTAATATTACTTATCTTACAACTTTAAATAAATGGATGAGTTTTAAGGGTAGTAATTGAGTGATTATATATTTCGTTTCATCGCACAATGTAGAAAGGTAATATAATACTGTTTTTAAATTATATATTATTGTATGTTGTTAAAATTATTAAATCTTTGGTATGGGTGATGTTTGGTAAATTTATTGTATCGAAATATATATATAGAAGAACTATATTGTTCTACATTTTCATTTTTGGAATTCTAAAATAAACTTTTATTATAGTCTATAGAGGATTTACTACCACACCCTCAATAGACTGAGGATAGTGAATAGTAGTTAAAACTTAGGGCATTTTAGGCCAAAGCATCTTGGCTTCACTCCCTCTTTCCTGACTAGTTTCTCACCTGTATTTGAAAGATAATTGGAGAGATGGGGTACCCCCAACACCTTTTGGTTTCTATCACCACAGGTATCTTTCTGGAATTAAATAACACTTCCAGTGTTCTACAACCAGTATAATTTATCTTAGCTGTCTGTGTTCAACGATCTTGATTGTGCTTTACTGATTTATGTTGCTGAATTTTTGCCCTCCAGTAGTACAACTACATGTCTGCGGACTTACAACGCTAGAAACCAGATTTCAATACCCGTGGTGGGAAGAGCACAGATAAACCATCGTGTAGATTTGTGCTTCAATTCAAACAAACATTTCTGTCCCCCGGTGGGACAGCGGTAAGTCTTCGGATTTACAATGCTAAAATCAGGGGCTCGATTCCCTTCGGTGGACACAGCAGATAGCCAGATGTGGCTTTGCTATAACAAAATACACACGCTGAATTTTTCTCCCATATGCAGTTCATAATGGTTTAATTTGTAACCTGGTATTATTATAGCTACACACACACACCATGTATATATATATATATATTGTGTGTGTATATTTATATGAAATCTGCGAAGAAATTATAGTCACGGTTTGGTAATGTTTAATTTTTTAATCCCTTTTCTATTTTTTAACATTTCAGATATATCTATATTCTTCTAAATCTCGTAGTTTTTGTTACCTGCATCTGTTCAACAGCTTGGAGGAGTTTACTTCGAAAGTGAAGAACGGAAGAACTCTGGGATTTCTCCATGTCTTGTCGCAGTGTCTTAATATCTTCCCAAGTACAGGCGACCTATAAACCGGTAATATTAAATACAAACAGTATATTAATTTAGGCATTGATAAACTAGGCATGCATGCCTACATTTTATGTTAGTAGCGCTTCCAATGTCAATTGCTTACTTCTAGATACATTACTACACGGAAGGGATGAAAAACAAAACACGTTTTATGTCTTTAGTTTCCGCATGAATATTTTGAAGCTAAAAACCAAAAGAACGTTTGGGTAATATAAACCAGCCTATTGCTGATAGTTGAGATTATGTTACAGTTGTTTGCGTACTTGTTTGTAGAAAATCAGTCATATTTTGGACACTTGGTGTTTGTATGTTTTTTTTACTAAAATCTAAAATACTGCATTGTTATCACGACGCCTATTGGTAACGTTTCGTGCGTGGTGCATGCTTAGCTGGAATCATTAACAGAATTGTAGATAAATTGTTTGTTTTTGAATTTCGCGCAAAGCTATACGAGGGCTATCTGCGCTAGCCGTCCCTAATTTACCAGTGTAAGACTAGAGGGAAGGCAACTAGTCACCACCCACCGCCAACTCTTGGGCTACTCTTTTACCAACGAATAGTGGGATTGACCGTCACATTATAGCGCCCCCACGGCTGAAAGGGCAAGCATATTTGGTGTAACGGGGATTCGAACCCGCGACCCTCAGATTATGAGTCGAGCGCCTTAACCACCTGGCTATACTGGGCCATTGTAGATAAAGTGAATGAAGAATAACAAACAGTAAAACCGTTAGTTACAGCCAGCGTAATGTTATGAACATTACCAATTGTTGAGAAACAACTACAATAAGATAGTGCTTTTACAAATGCAGAAAAAATTGGCAAAATACTTACTTTATAAACATGATAAAATAGTGTACTTACAACATAATAATAGTGTTTTTTTATAAACATTGTAAAATATATTTTTTTTATAAACATGGCAATATAGTGTCTTTATAAACATGGCAAAATAGTATATTAATAAAAGAATAAAACAGTGGCTTAATAAATACGGTAAAATTCTATCTTTATAAAAAAACTAAAATAATGTATTTAAAAAAAGAGTAAAATAGTATCTTTATAAAAGAGTAAAACAGTGTCTTAATAAACACGGTGAAATAGCATCTTTGTCCACCTTTATTAACCAGTGGAAGTCTATGTGTAGAGAAGATGGATAAGTTTCGTCCACTTCAACAACAGGTAGCGTTTCTTCTGTGGTAACCAACACTTTGTCTTCGTTGTAGAAGAGACAAGCTAGGAAAACTCCCCTAAATGAAATAATGATGAAAATATAAAAAAAAACGTTTGTTTCTTTGTTTTTTTGTACTGAGAATAAATTGACTGTCACATATTGAAAATTCAAATTATTATCTGTTGGAAAACTGATCTTCTGATTCCTCAGAACAAACAGATGAACGACTAAAATTAGTTTATTTCATAAATAATCATCTCATTGTACATTTATTTTTATACAGCATATATCAGGCATACAATGGGCTAAATCTGAAACCAACGTTAAAGGATTGTCTTTCAAGATTTTTCAGACAACAGATTAAATCGAGAAGACGCAAGAAACTTTGTCAAGAATGAAGCATTAAGTTACTGTACTTTTGTGTCTAAAAGCAATCTATCCACTGATGTGTGATGACGATACGTACTGTTGTCATGGTAACGTTGATTCAGAAGTCGACCTCAGTATCACTTCATAGGATAGAATCGAAAATTTAAGTCTGTAAAGCTCTTCCAAACAAAAATGGTTACACGGAGTGTAAAATGACACCGTCTCATTTTCTATTCTTGAACATATCTTAAATGAAAGAGAGATCTAAAAAACAACAACAACAATAAACAGACTAGAAATATTGGAAGCAACATGGAAATCTCAATATATATTCACCTTCTCAGAACTTTCTGGAATTTTGGAGCTGACGTGAAGAGGTTTTTAATAGTTCTTTTCACTTGACGTCTCTGCTGGTGAGGTGTATCTGTCGGCTGCTCCAAAATACCTATATTTGGAAACTTGTGTTGAATTTAGAGCTAATAATACTCTTGATGAAAAAGAAACCGCTTTTTTCAACGTGCTCAAGCTTTTGAGTGTCTTTTACTTTTATAACGCTGAGAAAATAAAATTAAGTAATTGTAGTAATTCTTAATCAAATGATTACATTTATGAGGTTTGAAATATATATAACTATTTGGTACAAGACAGTAAAGTTTTACACGCAGTAGGTGCTCTTATGAACGTATACATTATTTTGTTTTTAATTACTATACAGATACTAACAAAATCGCTTTTTTGAAATACTGAATCCTTGCACACTTTTTGGATAAGTGCTTATTTAATCAAACAATAGCGTTAGAGTCAAAATATCCTCTTCAATGAACAAGTTAGTGTTTAGAAATTCGGTAAATGAATATTTGAATGTTTATGAATTTTGGACGTTAGTATACTATTATATGGGTTATAGGAAATGGCGTTAGAGACGATAAAATTAATTCGTTATTTTCTCTACCGCGTGGATTTCGAGATAATTAATTCAGGATTTTCCGTGGTAACGAGAGAACAAAATTTAACTAAAAGAAATATTTTAAACATCGTGATAACTCTCAAAAGATTGATGTTGCTGACTCGTAGATAATTTTGATCATTTAAAAATATATACAATTGTGTAAAAATTAGATTTGTCTGAAATCACTTGTTTTAATCCCAGAGAGTCTGAGCATATTACGCGCCGATCACCAGAAATAAACAAATTGCTAAGTAAACTAAAGTTAAACCAAATATTTCACAGTCTCTGCAGTCCTTATTTGCTTCTAAAATTATCATTAATTTGCTGTAATGAGCTTTCCTTTCTGGCGAGGAGAAAAGTTTCTTCCTGATTACATGATCCATTTTATGGCTATCACAATGTAGGTTACTGGAGAGTTTAATGAATGGTAGGTAAATATAGATTTTAATTATGGCAAACTTGTTATATTTCAGTATGAATGAAAGGTAGATGGCCATAGGTTTTAATGATATCACATTTGTTATATTTCATTAGGAATAAAAGGTAGGTAACAATAGGTTTTAATGACGTAAAACTTGATATATTTCATTGTGAATAAAAAGCATCATGTTGAATTTAGGTCAAGTGACTAACCTTTAACTTCCGCGGCGTGAGCAGGTCTTGAGTTAATAACCTCATGAAAAAGGTTTGCTAGTTCTTTCAGTTTTCCAATCCCTCGAGTGCTCTTCTTCTCTACGTCTTTCCAACCTAGAGGATTGATGAAATTATTAAGCTCAGTCACTTTCTATTCACTAGGTGGCGTAATTTCATTCTCTTCTATTACTTAGTTAGGCACACTAAAAATATATTAATGCGATTACAGAATTATTAACTCCTGAAAATAAGATAGGTTTAAAAACCTTTGAAACAACAACAACAATCACAGACAACACTAGCCCAAATATTTTTACTACCATGTTGAAAATGAGGAAAGTAATTCCCAATTCTTATAGTAAACCATACTGTCCATGAAGTTAATAATCCAATGATACTAACACCTCCAACTCTGTAGTTTTTATGAAAGAGATATTACATTTCTAATATCAAGGTCTCAGTATCATGTTTGACTAAATGTCGTATAACATCCCCTAAAGGAAAAAATACACAAGAGAGTTGACGTGATTTTTTCTAAATTTGCTTTCGTTCATATTTTTTCTTTTAACTCGGCCGAATTCTGTAGGACAAGAAATAATTGATCAAATCTCTCATTGTGTTTTTTTTTTCATGAAAAAAGTATGAAGAGGAAAAAAAGCCATAAGATTCATTACAGATTTAAATGAGATAAACTCTGCTTCTAATATATATATATATATAAATGTTTCTTGAATTTCTATTTTTAAATTTGGTGCTTGGCTTTAAGTGAATTGTAATACCTATTTCTATTGAAGTGTTTTAAGTCAATCTTTAGACAACCAGAGTAATTTTTCTACTGCTGTATAATAACTAACTTTTATATCTTTATACGTATCAGTACCAAATTCTATCTATACTGAAGATCAATGGCAAAGGTTAGAAGTATTCCACTCTGACAAAGCCAGTGCTATTTATTCGATTAATATATAAGTTAGTATTTGTTTTGAGCCGAACATGTGATATGAAGACAAAAATTTAACTTGAAAATACTCACTAGAGGGCACTCCAAAAGAAGGAGATGCTGTCTGAAATGGGCTAAACCCCTTTGCATTGCCTGCAGCCACTCTAACAAAATATGCTGTGCCCTGAGTGAGATCGGGGATGGTGACTTCGAGCCTTTGAAGGTCAGTAATGTCTTGAGATCCAGCTAGGAGGCTAAAATCCTCGTGTCGACTCCAGTCCACTAGTTAGGATAAAAGTTATTTTATTAGAGTTTATAACAATCAAAGTTTTTTTGGAAGCTTATTAAAGAAGTTAATCATAACCAATTTTCGTTTTAAAACCGTTTATTTCAAAACATGTTAAATTAAATTAATCTATACAAACGCTAAAAATAATGTCGTTCAACAAAGAGTTTTGATTTTACAATATGTGTGCCTGTATTACATTCTAAGAGAATCAGAAATGTTATTCCAAAGTAAAAAGATCCCGATGAAACAGCAGAAAGCATGAAGGCTAATAATGCTAGAATCTAGAATTCGATCCCTGCGATGGATACAGTGTAGAAAATCCATTATGTAGCATTTTGCATTTATCAAGCCAAAGTAAAATTTGATCATGCAGTCAAATAATATTATAACGTATCTGACCACTTGCATTTCATTTTGTCGTCTACTGTTTAACAATGTTCTCTTGCACTATCATAGTCACATCATAAGTCTTCGAGGTATATTATTACAGTCATATAATGGTAGTGATAGGGTTTCTTTAAATTTCACAACTGTTCTTTAATTTTATAATGTTGTTCATTATTTATTACGTTCCTAATTATTATATTATGTTCAATACCTGAGCTGGTGTGATGGAGTGGTTCGCCTTCCTTTGCGTCCCCCAGTGGCACAGAGGTATGTCCGCGAACTTACAACGCTAGAATTCGGGTTTCGATACCCGTGGTGGGCAGAGTACAGATAGCCCATTGCATAGCTTCGTGCTTAATTACAAAACAAACAAACCTTCCTTTGCCGCAAAAACACGCTTTGCACGTTGAAAGCATGGGTGCGCTATAAATGAAAATCCTATCCTAACTAACTACTTTCCCTATAGTCTATCAGATCAAAATTAAGGACGAATAGCGTAAAAACCGTGGTGTAGCTTTGAGCAAATATCCGAAACAAACAAACAAACACTTTCGACAAAGTTTGTTTTCTTGGAAATTGTGAAAAGCGTTAGAAAATCAGTGACTTTTAAGACAAAAGTTTATTTGTTTGTAATTAAGCACAAATCTATACAATGGGCTATCTGTGCTCTGCCCACCACGGGTATCGAAACCCGGTTTCTAGCGTTGTAAGTCCACAGGCATACCGCTGTGCCACTGGAGGGCTTAAGACAAAAGAATGAGGTTAATTATCATATTTTCTCATCTCGATGATATTAAGACCTCAGTTAAAGGAACCTGATGATGGCAAATCATCGTCGAAATATTGTACATTTGCTACAGTGTTAAGCTTATAATAAAGTTTTCTTGGTTGCACGTCCAAGCCGTCTTTTAAACTATTTGTCACAAAGTAGGTTTATATTTATAAACTTTGAAGGAACTTTTGCAAGATGCCTTTTGCAGAGTGACGAAGAGAGGGAGATAATGGTGACAGACTTCGAGAAATGTCTATTTCATTAAATATCAGTACCATGAATGTTGACTTCACATTACAGGTCAGAGTAGTTTGTCCACAGCTGTATCAAAAACAGTGGTCAAAAACGGCAGTTTCTCTTTGTGCATGAGTTAAGTCTAAAAACAACATGAATCTTTTCTGCTTTCATAGGAAACTTGAAATAAACGACGTTAGGGGAAGTGTAGTATTAAATATACTAACTTTTGTTGTCTCATATATAGAGTTAAATTGAATACATTTAATGCATCAATTCCTAGTGAGAATATCTTACTCTATAATGAACATTGCAAAGAAGAACACAAAATCATAAGAAAAAAGAAAAGCCAGTCTTATCTGATGTTGATGCATATCTCTGTATTTGGTGATACATTATTCTGGACGTATTTAGAGTTGAGTGTTTAAAGTACAATGTCTATCTGTGCTGAGACCATAATGTGTTCCAACTTTAGTCTCCAGAACTGTTCAAGTTACTCTACCAAAAATGACCTTCAAACAGTACACGTATTTCTCAAACCGATAAATACATCTGTGGTTAATTGGTGATAAAAGAATCAAATAAGTTAACGTGTAAATCAACGGCCGCATATTAAACAGTTTTTCTTACCTTTGTATTTAGTTACAATACTATAGGCATCTTTGGCAGTGTCAGACTCTGTAATCTTGATGCGAAGTGCCCTTGTACCAACTACTGTTAACTGCACGTGCTTAGGCATATCCGGAGGCCCTGTAACACGAATAAATAATGCTACTAACTATTTTGATTTTTTCTGCTCTCTGAAATGACAGCAAACATCAAAGAATGATCAATAAAGAAACTTTGAAATCGACTGACCACTTTGATTTTTTGCTAGGAAAGTGAATCTTTAAAACAAAATTTATCATTAAATATACATTTTATATACCAATATTATACTTTTATACTAGTCCTATTTTTAATTTACATCATTATTATTAGTAAAGCAAATACAGTTAACATAACATAGTGTGCAAAGTTGTTCGTTTAAAAGTATTGAAATATATTTTTATTTTCAATGAAGAAGACTACTGAATGTGTGTGTGTGTGTTATGTGCGCTTCAAAAAGTTTTAAGGCTAATGTAAAATAAAGAAAAGCTTATCAAAAGCCGAAAAATGCATCCTTACTTATACGTTCAAAACCATCTTGCATCCTTTTCAAAAGGTTAAGCCGTCTCTGCCATAATGTCAGCTGGCGCTCCTTTTCCTTGAGAAATCAGAAAAACATTCAAGAATCAGAAACCAGCTTCCTCGCTCTCTAAAATGAAAAATATATTCCAAACACCTTTAGAAAAGTGCAACAAAGTATTAACTATGTTTTTTCCTCTATTTGCAAAATAAAATACAATGGGTCTTTCGTAGAGGTGCCAGGATGGCTGAGGTAAATTTAATATTTTGATGTAATATTCAGAATGTTCCTAGATGGCTCAAATGCTAGCTTGAGGGCTTATAACACTACAATTCGGAGTTCGATCACTGCAGTATATGCAAAACACTACCCGTCCATCGTTGAACTTTGTATTTAACAACAAACACACAGGTATCACGTGCTGAGTAATATGTTCGTAATGTACTGAAAGTTAATTACAATTTATAAAAATAAAACTCCGGCTCATATTCTCTCTTTGAAACTACTTCATTCATCGTTGTTTCTACTCATTCTGATTACCATAGTTACACACTTACTCGACACCACTATTTTCACAGAAACTAGTCGTCGACAGAGGAAAGCGGAATCGAACTCGACCACACGTGTTGACAAGTTTTCCACGTGCCTTAGTTCTTACGTGGAAGTCAGTTTCCAAGACCGCGTTTAAACAAACCAAAAACTCCATTGGAGCTAAATCAGGAGACTTAAAAAGTATGTAGTCGAATGAGATCATTGCTGTAATTTCAATTCCTTGAATATATTTCTTATGAAAACAGTTCTTGATTTCGAGGTGTAGTTGGAAGCTTGTAAGCCTTTATCAATTTAAATTATCGTTGTTATATTTTTAATTATACCCGAATATATGTACAGCTTTATCATATAACTTTTTGAGTCGAAAGATTTTCTTTCTTAACCGTATTTCTCACTTAGAGGATTGTTCCGGATAGGTTTGAGTTCTTTTTTTTAGTTTTCATCTTCCATGGGTAACAGTTGAGGCTTTCTTCTTTGAAATGTTATGTCTGGACAGGGTGTAGTCGAATGGTTAACATACTGAGCAGGACTACTGGACATTTTACGCACTTTCAGCTGTTCAAAGAGCCAGACAAACCTCTTGTGGCGGTAGGTGCTATTGACTCGCTGCTTCCATCTGGTGAGTAGTTTAAAATTAGGGGGTGCCTATATTTGAATCCTAAGAGTCTGTGACTTGGCCGTTTATCCCACGAGCACATAAGTTACCTTTTAGATGAAATACCGGTATCCAGTTTTGTTTTGTTTTTGTTTCTTTTTTACTCGCTCTTCATCGTATACCAGCATTTGACTATCTTCTGGTCAGAGATTCACAGTGAACCAAATATACAAGTGGTTAAATGTTGCCCTCTGAGCCTGTGTAATAGTATATACAAATTGTTGTTTTAAAGTGCGATTAAATCTATGTAGGTTATAAGACAATAAATCGCTCCATGCTGTTTTCATGTTTTGGTTTTTAGTCCTTGTTAGTATTATGGCTCTAAGGGTAAATTTGTTTCGATTTCTAGTTTAAAAGTTTCTACGTAGCCGCAATATTATTAGAAAACAAGTTACAGACCTAAGCCTCAGGGACTTAACTCTCTTAAGCTTCTTTGTATTTGCTAATTCAATGTCAGGCACCATCATACGCACATGCAAAAGGGCTTATGATTATATGAAAACATTTCATATACTCGACAAGGTCACATAAGTCTCTTCTAAATGAACAAATATTTAAGTGCAAAATAAGTGAATAGTATTAAACGTTTATAATTTATGATATAAATCAAGTAAACTGAGAATGTTTGTTTCCCCACATTCCTCTAAATTTGTCCATTTCGGAGTCAAAACAAGAGGCTTTTAGTACCTTTAAATAACAATTTTTGCTGCAAAAATTTATTTTCATTTTATACAAGTGTTTTAAGTCCTATGGAACGTAAGTTTAGATAAAGTAAAATTATTATGTTAATTCAGCAACCATGGAGTTATATTTTGAAAAACAAAACAAAAAAAAACAAGTATTCATATATAATAGTTTTTCTTACAATTTGGTGTGGCCTAGTAGTTAGTGTGCCGGACAACAGATCATTAGGTCCATAGTTCGAGACGATTATGCTGTTGACCATGCTATTCAGTTATGAATAATCGTGCAGACGAAGAGTGCTGCTGTTTGGTTGTTCCTGCTTTGGTCAGCAGTTCTAAATATAGGATGGCCATATTTGAGCCTATCTGTTTAGCCCAAGTGTCGTGTAAGGTAACGTTCAAGTACCAAAAACCAAAATACATCTTATCATTTCTGGTCAATATAGGATATTTCGTACAATACAAAGACAAGTAGTACATTCAGTTTATTTCAAAGAAAGAAGGTAAATTTAAATACTCTCATTCTTCCACTTCTTCTCCAATGGTGAAGTATTATTACATTTCTGAATACGATGAGAAATTATCTGGAAGGGTATTGAAGAACTTATTTGGCGGGAATTCTGTTTACAAAGTAGGAAAATGTGTAATTGTAAACTTTCTTAGACGTCAAGTTCGTCTCATCTTTGACATTGTGATACATATATAAACAAAAATCAAACCAAAAAGTTAAATTATTGTCTGATAAGTAAAAGTGCAACACTGCGACCATTGCGCATAAAAACATATTTTTTTTTTTATATTCTATAACATAATACTTCGGATTAAGCTAACTGGGCATTACGTTTCATATGAATGCATATATCTATCTCTTAAAAAGAGTCAGGCCTAACCTTTAATAAAGCTGCAGAAAGACTGCCACTAGCCGCCGTATTGTTGACATATTTGGACAAATCCTCTTCACATCGTTCCGCTTCATTGACCAGACTGACCAACTGGCTTGTTCGACTTTCTTTGGTAGGAACTGAATAAAAGGTTATAATTCAATACTCAAATTATAAGGCAATGAAACTTAAATTCTCCAATCACAACTCTGGCTATTCAATCATATAATCCTAGCATTCATGCTGCAATTAACGCATTGATACTTTTAATCCACCCCCC